AAAATAATATACAACTATTTCTAAGAAAGTACATACGTGTACTGACCTTTTTCGATTTCTATATACTTGGGTTTCGTCACGCCTATCATAGGCGCCCTTTGAAGTTCGACAAAACATGCGACACAGCCGGTAGGAATGCCTAAAGGCGAAAATTTCAGAATAATACATGTTTCGTGATAATTATGAAGTTTGTTAGAATGTTCATTTTGTTGTGGCAAGATGGGAATTGTATATCGTTACAACTGGTATATCGGGCACTTGTTTTTTAAATATCAAAATTCGGATATCTTCATTAATTGATTCAAATATGGAAGTTGACAGAAAATTCATCATGTGTTCGATATCTGATTCTTTTTGTTGTAAGAAATGAAAAATAATGTGATATAAATGCATTATAAAGTATCTTATCTTTCAATATCTGTCTATATTTCTGAGATGAGGTATTATGTACACTATTTACATTATTCGAACTATTGTCTTCATCTTTGTCGCCATGTTTATCACAACGTTTCGGCCGTTGTACGCTCCGGCCTTCTTCAGGTGGTTGGAATGTCCAACTGAACCCTTTATTTCACTCGCTGGGGTAGACTGTTCTAGTTCTACGTGCCATGTCTAATGGATGTCAGTTATCTTCTGTTAATTCCCCTCTGAAAGTTCTCCACTGCCTACACTAGGGGAAGTGGAAAAATCAGTTATGGCTAACCACATATGGAGAGAAAAGAGAGATCACCACCCTCTGTGGGATCAAGTTGATATCACAGACAAAGAACATCACTGGAAAATTCGTAAACTTAAGAAATCGGCATATATGCTAGGCCGCAAAAATCTCCTGAGCTGACCAAGCATAGAAATGAATACAATATGGGAATCAGTAATAAGGAGTGTCAGAGAAAAGCGATAATAACAACAAAAATTGCAATATGAGCTCTGCTAAAAAAACGTAATTGATAACAGCCAAAATTGCAGTATGAGCACTGATAAAAAAAGTGGTTGCTGAAGACATTAGGTTTATATTACCCAGAAATTCGTACACAGATGTCCACAAGGACATGGCACAGTTGATAAAGACGTTAGTTAGATCCAGTGACAGGACCCAAAGAGTGTGAGTTCAGTGGAGAATTAACAGGAGATAACTAACATCCATTAGACATGGTACGTGGAACTAGAACATTCTAGGTTTCAACTCGACATTCCAACCACCTGAACGGTCCTAACGTTGTGATAAACATGGCGACAATTATGAGGACAAAATTCCGAATAGTGTAAATAGTGTATCTTATCTTTATAGATGAATTTCTGTAAATGATCGAACGTCTGAAAGTTTCAAGCTAAAGCTATAATGTTGCTTGGTTGAATAGACCAGCTGGGCTTGATAGCAATCAAACGAAGACATTATCTGTGAAGAAACAACTTCATTCAATGCAAAAATAGCCAAAATATCTAAAATATTCAAATCAAGCGATGAAAATAATTCGTGTTTTGTTAGTCGCTTTGATAGGTAACGTTCGTATAAGTATAGGGATTGAAAACCTACTTGACAAGGTCTCCATTTGAGTGACAGAATTAATTTCAACTCGGAACTAATTTGAACTCGGAATTAATTTCGACTCGGAACTCATTTCGACTCGATTTAAAATCCCTAACCCTAACACCTAACCCTAACGCTGAGTTCCGAAATGGAATTAGTTCCGAAATGGAATTAGTTCCGAGTTGAAATTAATTCTGCACCCACTCCATTTGCAATTTGCTGCAACAAAAATGTTCCATTTTTTAAATAAATTATGACAAGCGACGTAAAGAAGATACCTTCCAACAACTTAAATCACAATATATCATAGAGCGAGCGAAATGAACGGCCACGAATTGTAACAAATGCCGCTATTCAGGCATGTATCGTATGACTATATGACTGTCGTTGGTTAAAATACTTCACAAAGATTAAATTTATCCACTAATTGATTTTGACGTTTCTAATTCATAGCTCGCATCTTAAGCTGCCCCTTTTGCTAACGACCATACATCATGAAAAGAAACAGTTACTTATCAATTGTAATAAATACAATTGATAATTAACCCTTTCTTTTAGTTCCTTAGTCTAGGAGTTCCGGCAGCTTTCTTTCTCTCTGTCGTCAACATGCTGTCATCTGCTTATCTTATGTTGTTATGAATACAATTCGCATCATCAAACACAGAAAATCAGAATTCAAAATCGTGGCTTTTATTTAAGCTGAAATTATTCTGTTCACTGACGTCCTGGACAAATAAATAACACTGCTATATCAGATCATTTTTATTTAAGGCAAATGTTAACATCCACATGGCAATAATATTAGGAGAGTCCAATGAAGATTACATTTCTACATGATCTCGGTCGGTGTACGTGACATGGCGAGACCTAACTATGAGAAAATGGCGGAAATAAGGGAGGTTACTCGTTTGAGAATTTGTTATAGTAATCGCTATCAAGTAGCGATAGGTAAGCAATGTTTCGTCTGTAATA